TTTCCAAGAATTTCGACGCGCGACACCAGGGGAGGAAGAGATGATAATCTTGCACGTTGCTCACAACTTCAAACACCTGGCGCTCATCACTCCTCCTCCTCCTCGTTCACCTCCCCCTCCCCCTCCTTTTCCTCTTCGCTCCTCCTCCTCCCTCGTCCTCCTCCTTAGCCCCCCCCCTCCTCTTTCTCCTCACCTTCTCCATGCTGTATCGCACCAGTCTTCTCTCTCTGCAACTTTGCCAATCAGTTCACCTTCCACTCCATCCTTCTCCTTCTGTCCCCCCGTGTCTCTCCGCCTCTTCACCTGTGCACAGTCTTCTCTGCTGACCCCAAGCTGGGCAAGAAGCTGTTGTTCGTCCAGAAGTGCCTGCAAAGACTTGAGTGGGCAGAAGAGGGAGGGGAGAGAAGGAGGAGGAGGAGGAGGAGGAGGAGGAGGAGGAGGAGGAGGTGGTGGTGGTGGTGGAGGAGGGAGAAGGCAAAGGTGGGGTGGGGTGGGGTGGGGGGTTGTGACGGGCTGACCGGGAGGAGGAGCAGACGCTTGAAACAGCAGGGGAGGCGAGGCAGCATGACCGCCTCCTCCTCTGTCCTTCCCCGACCGAACAGACTGAGAGCCTTGCGCTTGAAAGCTTGAAGGTCATCAGCAAGGAAGTGCAAGAAAGGTGGGGGATTGCTCAGGCAGCAGGAAGAGGAAGAAAATGAGGAAGAGCAGGAGGAGGAGGAGAAAGGGGATGGGGATGGGGATTGGGCAGCATAGCGGGTCAAGATTAGAAGGAATTCAAGACTCACGCTTGTCCAGCCGCTTATCCGCCTCCCTGACAAGTTCGAAGAAAGCTGATGCAGAGAAGTCACCTCTATGCTCCCATATTCTCGTTCTATGCTCCCATATTCTCGTTCTATGCTCCCATATTCTTCCCATCGCCGATTCCTTTTATCCCCCCCCCACTTCCCTTTCTCCAAACTTCACTCCACCCGAACCCCCTCTCCTCCAGGATCCTGCTTCTCCTTCCCTAGATCCTTCTCTTCCTTCTTGAGCTCTTTCCTCCTCCTCTTCCTCCTCCTCCTCCTCCTCCTCCTCCTCGTCTTCCCTTCCCCCTACCTGTCGCAGGCTTTGCATGCAGCTTCGCATGTTCCAGTTTGTCAGTTACACGACCGTTGATCATCACTTTCTTACGTTAGTTTCCGTTACTCTTCGGAGAGAATCCGCGGGCCACTCGGCCGGCAGCCAGCGAGTTCTGACTCAGCGGTTTACTCAAAGTTGAGTTAAAATCAGTACGAAGACAATTGACTAGTAGCCTGAGTTAACTTAACAGTGAGAGTTGCTGTGTGCCGCGATAGCATGATACTATGATAGTCCGGCGATCCGATGACAAGCGGCTGAGGCGGACAAGGCAAGGGCAGGTTCAACGGTTTGGTCAACTTCTAATCGCACATTTTTCACCTCCTACACTCATCCAACCTTCAAAGATTCTTTGTCGCCTCCTCACTTGCCCAGAGAATTTCCAATGGGCAAGTTGCCTTGCTGGTGGTATACCTATTCGAAATTGAGCAGCAAAAAGAGCGAAGAGAAAAACGAGTGAGGAGCAAGACAGCGAGAGAGGAACGTAGATGGAAGCAGATGTGGGACAGAGAGGAGTAAGCCGAAGGTAGATTCAGCAGCTCACCTGCTTCCCATTGCCTGATGCAACTGACATGTGCTGCCGATAGGGCTGGACGTCATTGTAAGCACGTGCGGTGAAAGAAAGAACAGGCAAGTGACCTGATCGAACATGCTAACACTCTTCTTCACTTTCAGATTGTGCGGCTTGTTGAAGCCCTGCCAACACCATAAGCGAGAACGTGGGTCCCAAACAGCGTCTAGACCTGATTCCAGGAGCCGAACACAAGGTTCGCAAAGTCATCCGCATGCGACTTGAGATGCTCTTGATCTTCGACTTTGTCGATGGGAACATAGACGTCTCCGATGCCGGTGTACTGTCAAGACCATCAGCCAAACCAAATGAGATCAACTTGTCACTGACTTTCTGTCGGATGATGCTCCTGGCAGAGCCATACAGAAGATCCTTGTTCTTCTTCGACTCCTCCGGCCAATGGTCGAAGCGATCAACGTACGGATGCGCTTTGGAGTACAATCCACTGCTATGGAAGTCAGATGAGCCAATGCCTCGTCTTACTGTCATGCCTGTTATCTGTTTCGACGACAACATCGTCGTTGGACGCAAGTCTGCAGCAGAAGCTTGAGTGACAGGTTGATGAGGAGCATGAGGCAGACCCAATCAAGTTATCCCCCAGCTTTGCGTCTCTCGTCGGCGGGCCCGCGTCCTTGGGATGGACCTTGATGGCTGTCAGCACCAGCACCAGCACGACCTGATCCCACCTTTCCCCATGGCCAGAGCTCGTCGCAATCCACATCCGAAAGAGGACAATCTTTGTGACCTTCCGGATGGTCCTCAGGGACCCACCTGAGAGTCCCATCAGCGCTCCATGAACAAGGAGTAGTCGGCTTACTTCGACACGGCTGCGATCCCCAACATGCCAGGCTTGTGATTCTGCTGGATGTGAGGAGAACAGGGACGAATCAGAACCTCTTACCTCGTAGAAGGTGGGAGCAACGTCCGCTTGTCCAAGCTTGGTCACCTTTGATTTGACATTGGACTTCAACACCTGTGCCCCATCCTCTCAACACCTGACAAGCTCAAGGGAACTGAGGAGCGAACCTGATTCAGCCTCGTCTTCTTCTCCATTCTCTTCACCTTCTTCAGCGCGGCGGCCTCAACCTGCCGGCAGACTTTGAGTGGTCAGAGCACAAGTTGAGCATTTGGCACCTCCTTGGCAGCCGCTCGGATCAAGGCATCGACTTGTGAGTCACCCGTTGATGTCTTGGAATGTCTCAGAATGTCTCGTTGTTCAGTCTGAAGCACATACGTGACTTCGAGCGGCCATAGCGACAACTTCTCTACCTGAAACTTGGACGGATCCGACAGCAATGAGACGGAGGTCGTATGCTTCCCGCACGTCAACCAACCATGGGCACCAGCAAGAACTCACATGAAGTCCGTAAACCAGCGCGATCAGCACGAGGCCTCCAGCAATGGCGATGAGCCGCGACGGCGTCCGATCGTGCAGAGACACAGCCTAGAAACAAGCCGCACGTTATAAGGCATGTCACTTGGCCGCTATCACTGCAGGCGTCCCTAACCAACACCTTCCTCTCTTCCTTCAATCAAATGGCTCCGACATCTTACTTGGAGGAGGATACAGCCCGAAGCTAATGAGCTAGCCTTCCAACTGACCCTACTACCAGACACCCACACCTCAGTTGAAGTAGAAAATTGCTGATGTAAATGATGTCCATAAACAAAAATATGCAAGAACAAGACCCCTCTTCGCTGAAAAGAAGCTTATCTCCATTTTCTACCATGCATCTTCTTTTTCCTCGTCTCCTTTCGAGAGTCTATCTCTCACATCCCTGCTTCCCAGCTGAACGCACATTCCTCAAACTGACCTATTATTTATCATGCACTAGATAGCATCATCTCCATGATATTTGTTGCCATGATTTCGCTCATGATGTTTGTTGCCATGAATCCGCTCATGATGTTTGTTGCCATGAATTCGCTCTCCTCTTAGTTCTGTGTTCTTACCCTCCAGCAGTACATTCTCTCTTCCTCCTCACCTGTCGCGGTATCGCGCCATAGCGTAACCTCGCCGCCATGCTGGCTCTTCGCTCGGCTGAGGATGAATTGGGGGCAGTTCAAAATCTCTTAAGATGCGATTTTCTGCCTTTCTTGTCACTGCCTAATTTATAACAAAAATCTTAAAACATATTTTGGAGGTTACAGTACAAACACTTATAAAACATAACTAGATTTGGAGGATATTCCTTTCAAGCCTTCATCTATATAAGTGTACGATCCTATCGACTGACTGGGTGCTTGGTACAATTTTGAAATAGTACCAGAAATTAACAACAGAGCCAATTTATTGTTGTACGCAAGAGTTGGTTTTGAAAACAAATATTCTACAAAAGACTTCCCTTGGTACTACAGATAAAATAGTTTTAAATATAAAACAAGCTTTGAAAATAAAACCAGCATTTGTGTGTGATCCACGTCCTCAGCCTGACCCCTCCATCCCTCATACCCCCAGGACTCACCACCCCACCCAAATGTATTACTACCCGGTACATGTCCCTGAATACTTAGACGGAGAAGGGGTGATACCGAAACTATACTGGTGTCCATCAGTACCCTACCCCTGATGAGGACTTGCATGCATGGCGGCAAATGATGATGATGATGATGATGATGATGATGATGATGATGATGATGATGATGATGATGATGATGAGATGATGATGATGATGATGATGATGATGATGATGATGATGATGATGAGATGATGATGATGATGATGGAGATGATGATGATGATGATGGAGATGATGATGATGATGATGAGATGATGATGATGA